CCCCCTCCCCTCCAGAAACCCTCAGTTTGTTTCCTGAGATTAAGAGTCTCTTACGGTTTGTCTCCCTCTCTGGTTTCATCTTGTTTCATTTTTCCCTCCCTTCCCCTATGATCCTCTGTCTTCTCAAAATCCTCCTATCAGTGAGATCATACGCTACTTATCTTTCTCTGATTGACTTATTTCACTTAGCATAATACCCTCTAGTTCCATTCACATTGCAAATGGCAAGATTTCATTTTTTTTGATGGCTGTGTAATATCCCATTGTATATATATACCACATTTTCTTTATCCATTCATCTGTTGATGGACATCTAGGCTCTTTCCATAGTTTGGCTATTGTGGACATTGCTGCTATAAACATTGGGATACATGTGCCCCTTCGGATCCCTACATTTGTATATTTGGGGTAAATACCCAGTAGTGCAATTGCTGGGTCGTAGGGTAGCTCTATTTTCAACTTTTTGAGGAACCTCCATACTGTTTTCCAGAGTGGCTGCACCAGCTTGCATTCCCACCAACAGTATAGGAGGGTTCCCCTTTCTCTGCATCCTCGCCAACATCCATCGTTTCCTGACTTGTTAATTTTAGCCATTCTGACTGGTGTGAGGTGGTATCTCATTGAGGTTTTGATTTGTATTTCCCTAATGCCGAGAGATGTTGGACACTTTTTCATGTGTCTGTTGGCCATTTGGATGTCTTCTTTGCAGAAATGTCTGTTCATGACTTCTGCCCATTTCTTGATTGGATTATTTGTTTTTTGGGTGTTGAGTTTGATAAGTTCTTTATGGATTTTGGATACTAGCCCTTTATCTGATGTGTCATTTGCAAATATCGTCTCCCATCCTGTCAGTTGTCTTTTGGTTTTGTTGACTGTTTCCTTTGCTGTGCAAAAGCTTCTTATCTTGATGAAGTACCAATAGTTCATTTTTGCCCTTGCTTCCCTTGCCTTTGGCGAAGTGTCTAGGAAGAGGTTGCTGCTTGTGTTCTCAAGGATTTTGATGGGATTCCTGTCTCACATTTAGGTCTTTCATCCATTTGAGTCTATTTTTGTGTGTGGTGTAAGGAAATGGTCCAGTTGCATTCTTCTGCATGTAGCTATCCAATTTTCCCAACATCATTTGTTGAAGAGACTGTCCTTTTTTCACTGGACATTCTTTCCTGCTTTGTCTAAGATTAGTTGACCATAGAGTTGAGGGTCCATTTCTGGGCTCTCTATTCTGTTCCATTGATCTATGTGCCTGTTTTTGTGCCAGTACCATACTGTCTTGATGATGACAGCTTTGTAATAGAGCT